CTGCAGCGCAAGGACGGCCTGGGCTGGACGTGGGTCTACGCCCGACTGCGCCCCGAGGGCCCAGCCCTGCTCGCCCACAATTTTGTCATCAGGTGAGTGGAGCCAGGCGTCCGGGTGGCCGTAGCCCACCCCGGGGGACCCAGGCGTCCGGGTGGCCCCAGGGGACCCAGGCATGCAGGAGGTCCCACTAGCCCCAGGGGACCCAGGTGCTCCATCACCCCCGAGGGAAGTCCAATGTCTGGGCACCTTCCACCCCACATGGGACCCACGTCCGGGAGCTCCCCACCCCACATGGGATCCATGGGTCTGGGCACCCTCTGCTCCCCTGGGGGGACCCAGGCATCCGGGCTCACCCCAGACGCCCCATAACCCCCTGTCTCTCCCGCAGCGAGGCTGAGGCCTGGTGCCTGCGGCAGCTGCTGGCAGCCGAGGCCCCCCCGGGCCCCCCCGAGCCCTTCAGCCCCGGCTTTGACTTCCCCGGTGCCGGCATCGGAGCTGGTGGGGACCTTGGTGTCGGCGCTGGCCCCGGCGTTGGCCTCGGTGTTGGCCCTGCCATTGGATCCGGTGTTGACCTCGGTGTTGGATCTGGGCTTGGAGACGACGTTGGAGCTAATGTTGGTGCCAACATTGGTCTTGGCCTTGGCCTTGGGGTCAACGTTGGATGTGGCCTTGGAGCCGATGTTGGACATGGTCTTGGAGCTGGCCTTGGGGCCAACGTTGACCCTGGTCTTGGAGCTGGTGTTGGACCTGGTCTCGGAGCCAACATGGGACCTGGTCTTGATGCCAACATGGGGCCTGGTCTTGGAGCTGCCATCGAACATGGTCTTGGAGGCAACGTTGGGGCCAACGTTGACCCTGGTCTTGGAGCCGGTGTCGGAACGAACATTGGACGTGGTCTTGGAGACAGTGTTGGACATGGTCTTGGCTCTGATGTCGGTGCTGGAGTTGGCATCGGCGTGGGAGCCGGCATCAGAGTCGACGTTGGCCTTGGCGTGGCAGCTGGCGCCAGCGCTGATGTTGGCCCCAACCTTGGGGCTGATATTGGAGCTGCTCTTGGAGCTGGCGCCGGAGATGATGTTGGAGCTGGTCTCCAAGCCAATGGTGGAGCAGACGTTGGCCCCAGTCTCGGCGCCGGTGTTGCTCTCAGTGTTGGGGCCAACATTGGGCCTGGTCTCGGTGGCGGCGTCAGAGCCAGCGTCGGGCTTGGCATTGGAGCTGTTGGCCCCACTCTTCCATCTGATGTCAGCGCTGGTGTTGGACTCACCGTCGGTGCCAGCGTTGGAGCCAATATAGGTGCTGGAGTCAGCGCTGGAGTTGGACTTGGCCTTGGAGCCAATATTGGAGCCAACGCTGGCTCCAGTCTTGGATCCACTGTTGGACTTGGTGTTGGAGCTGCTCTTGGAGCCAATGTTGGCTCCGCTCTTTCCTCTGGTGTTGGACCTGGTGTTGGACTTGCCATTGGAGCTGCCGTTGGAGCCAATGTTGGCTCCGGTCTTGGATCCGGTGTTGGACTTGCCGTTGGAGCTGGTGTTGGAGCCAACGTTGGCTCTTCTCTTGGATCCGGTGTTGGACTTGCTGTTGGAGCCGGTGTTGGAGCCAACATGGGCTCTTCTCTTGGATCCGGTGTTGGACTTGGCGTTGGAGCTGGTGTTGGAGCCAACGTTGGTGCTGCTCTTGGATCCGATGCTGATGTTGGTGTTGGACTCAGTGTTGGAGCCAATGCTGGCACTGCTCTCGCATCTGATGTTGGCTCTGGTGTTGGACTTGGCGTTGGAGCTGCTGTTGGAGCCAACATTGGTGCCGGCATTGGCTCCGCTCTTGGATCCAGTGTTGGACTTGGCCTCGGAGCCAACGTCGGCTCCAACATTGGCTCCTCTCCTGGATCTGACATTAGCACCGGTGTTGGACTTGCAGTTGGAGCCAGTGTTGGAGCCAGCGGTGGCTCCAGTCTTGGATCTGCCCTTGGATTTGCCGTTGGAGCTGCACTCGGAGCCAACGTTGGCTCTGGGCTTGGACCCGATGTTGGCAGCACTGTTGGACTCAGCCTCGGAGCCAACATTGGAGCCAACGTTGACTCTGCCCTTGGAACCAGTGTTGACACCGGCATTGGACTTGGTGTTGGAGCCAATATTGGATCTGGCGTTGGATCCGGCGTTGGACTTGGTGCTGGAGCTGCCGTTGGAGCCAATGCTGGCTCTGCTCTTGGATCCACCATTGGCCTTGGCCTCGGAGCCGCCGTTGACCCTGCTCTTGGATCTGGTGTTGGCCTCGGTGTTGGAGCTGCCATCGGAGCCAACGTCGGCACCGCCCTTGGCACCGGACTTGGCCTTGGAGCTAACCTCGCCGCCGGCGTTGGCTCCTCTCTGGGCCCCACCATTGGCGCTGCACTTGGAGCCGCCGGCGGAGCCAACGCCGGCGTAAGCTTGGCCGCAGGCGCTCGCCTCATGCCGGGCCTGGGGGTCCCCGAGACGCCGGGGGGAGCCACCGAGACCTGGACACCCCCCTACACCCCCCGGCACGCCCCGCCCTTCGCCTTCGGCCCCCCGGAGCCCCCTGAGGCAGCACCCGAAAAGTTACCGCCGAGTCCCGAGAGTCCCGGGGGGGTCCCCGGGGGGGCC